CCCCAAAACCCCAAAACCCCAAAACCCCTCAAGAAGTGATATTTGAATTGTAAGATTAATGATAAATGGTATATTGTTGATGAATTATAAAGTACTATTTTGAAATTACAGTATAATAAACATAATTAAAATGATGATGGAGGCTTTATCCTTTAAGATAGAAATTAAACTCGGAGTACTTCAGGCGTTTATCCCCCAATCAGGGGAACTCATGGTTACTCTTAAAGATGGTAAACTATTTGCTTTTAGTATCAATAATTGATGTTTAGAGGACACAAGAATTAATTAGAATCAGTCTAAGATTAATGTAGATTTCAATTGCAAGAGAACTTCAATTAACTAGACTTATACTTTCATCTCGACTTTTAAGCCTATTTCGCATGGTTCCTACGAATAGAGATATGTAAGATATTTGATCTCTCCAATATCTTACACTATATAATAGTTGTCATTAACATTTCAACTGAATACAGATGGTTCGATGAAACCACTTGGTTTGAATAGGTTGGAAATGTCTTAATTCCTATAAAATGGAATGCTAGGCTAACCTCATAACATAAATCTTAAAGTGCTGAAGTGCCCATTTGACGTTGATGCTCAAGTTAGTCTTTAGATTACATTTTTGGAATAAGTGCATCTCGAACGAAATAGTGATACGTCATATGTAAGCGAGACTTCGTCAAGAGTTAGTCAAATGAGTGATTTAAGGGGATCGATTGGAGGTGTAAATAATAACAATGGTGGAGGCTAGAGGAGTTCTGTCTACAGCAGCAATACAGCTCATAACCCCGAAGGAAATAATCTGCATTAAGAAAACCAGAATGAAAACAGCACGAAAGTATTGGCTTAGTCTAGATCTGAGAAAAACATAGCAGAGATAAAATTCAATAAAGCTAACGTCAGAGTATCAAAGTAAAATGGTTCACCTGATTAAAATTATTAAAAATCTACAAGTCAGCCTACTTAAATGATCAAAGTGACTTAGAAGCAATACCAGAAAATGCATCCTCACGAGATGCCCCAACTTAAAATAGACAGTTTAATCAAGTCTCTGAACAATGAAGATTAAAAAAAAGAGAATTTATAAGAGATGAGGCTAATGCAAGATCAGATTCGTAAGTTTCTCCTTAATTATTCTAATAGTTTCTTAACAAGATATTTATAGAGTAATTACAAAAGCAAGTGTCAATGTTTAAGTCTGAGAACGATGAACTCAGAGGCATTAAATAAAATCAAGACTTATTGATTGCTCATCTTAAGCAGTAGAATCTGCAGTTATAATCTAGTAAGAGCAATGACTTAGAAACTCAATAGTTAAGAGCCTAGTTAAAAGATGTGACTGATAAGTATCAGCATCTTTTGTCAATTTTGAGAGACCAGTAATCACAAAGCACCAATTATACATCTTAAAATCATACATTCAAGCATTGTAAATCTCAGCAAGTTTAGTAAATAAAGAATAACTTTATAAAGTCTGTGAATACCACAGGCGAGGAAGACAGTGATACAATAGACAATGATCCTTTTTAGAAAGAGCCTTTTGCTATTGCCAAGTCTTAATATTCATTCACAGATCATCCAAATACATTTGATAGTAGAGAAGAATTCAAAAGTATGCCATTCGATTTTACCATTAAGGATAAGTATAACTATGTCAAAAACAAATTGTCCATGGTCTTAATAGATAAAAACCAAATAGAGCAATAGCTAATTAACGCTAAAATGCAATGGGCTACCCTTGATCTTTAGAGAGATAACCTAACAATAAAGCTAAAGTAAAGCAATGAAAGATATGAAAATTTATAAGTGCAAATGAATGGACTTTAAGATGAATTGGTCAGAACAAAGCAAGAGTTGGGTGAAGCTATGAATTCAGCTTACGAGTATGAGAAACAAAACAGCAACCTACTAAATCAGTATGAAAATAGAAATAGCACAGCAAGTGCAGGAGGAAGCACTGCAAAAAACGAAAAGAAATCCAAAACTAGCAAGATCAAGAGTCTTTTTAAGATGAGCAAATGATTTTACTCCAAATGACTCTGCTCAAGTGGCATGAGCAAAGCCAAGGCTTAATTGCATAAATTATAAGTTCCAAATTGCATAAAGATTAACATAAGGATTAAAAATTAAAATTTTCAACTACCTAATTTTTTCTTGATAATTGAACTGTGGGGTTTTGGGGTTTTGGGG